CTGGGAGTTGAAGTCCACGAGTCATAAAAGAGCCAAGGTTGACCACCCCTGTTTTAGGGCAAAGACTCTCCATCCCCGCATCCTACTTAAGCCAGCCTTTTTTTTTCTGACCCGGGGCCGTAACATTCTGAAACTTCAACAAGAGACTGGAAGACCCTTTGTCCGGAACTGTATAAGGGTCTCCTGCTTGAGCGGGGAGAGGGTAGGGGGTTGGACTAGAAGACCTCCAAGGTCCCTTCCAACTCTCTTATTCAGTTGCGTTCTGCAGCTCCAAAAGGGGAGAAAATTGGCCGGCAAGAGGCTAAAATAGGCGGCGAAGGAGACGGGAGTTCTGCCGAAGCTGGGCGCTGCCGATCTACAGTGTTTGCTCCCGCCAGGGCATCTGGCATTGGGGGCGCCTCTTTTGGAAGATCTTCGACCCTGGCGGGGCCACACAGGCGGGAAATAACCCACGCCCCTCCCTCGCCGTTCACTCCCTCGCGTGCACAAAACGTGGGCTTCTCTGCCTTATCGGCGTTCACACACACATACCTAAAGTCTCCACCTTTTGTCTCCAATCTGACTGCGCTGCCAAATTTCCACCCCAGCATGAAATATTTAATGAAAGACTCGGCGAAACGAAACGGGCGCTTGGCCACCTGCGACATTTATCTCCCAAGTATATTAAACTTTTGCTGCTTGGCACGCTCTGAGCCGGAGAGTCAAGGTTTCCTGCATTATCTGTGCCAGCCAGGTAGAAATCGGAGAGCGTTTCCTCCAGCTGGCGATCTTTCTTCCCTCTTTCAACATTTAAAAGCAGCTTTCCAAACCTTGGAAATTGCTGGCACATGTTGACAGCTGAAAATGGGACTCCTGCTGTAATAATTTAGCTGATGTGCAGTTAATTCTATGGAAATAATACGATATGGCTCTTCTTCCCTCCGCTCACCTGTGCCGTGGCTGACTTCATGGTTTCATAGGGTCCCTGCTTTTCTTGTTAGCCTGACACCCATCTCTCACAACTGAATTTTAAAGCCAGGGGGATGTGTTCTTTTTGGGGAGAGAGAGAGAGAGAAGAGAGAGATGAAGGGACGGAGGGAGAGAGAGAGAGAGAGAGAGAGAGAGAGAGAGAGAGAGAGAGAGAGAGAGAGAGAGAGAGAAAGAGAGAGAGAGAAGGGCTGGCGTAGGGCATGTGCATAGTGCATGTTTATGATGTCTAGATGCAAAAGGTAGAAAATACCTGAGCTTTCATTTTTGGGGAGAAAAGTAGGTTTGGAGACTGTTCCCCGCAGCCAATGAATTCACGATCCATGACTTTTGGTCAAGAAGAAAATCTTGCACTTCTATTCTACATGAGTGACATCGTGATAAAAAGACATGTTTAGATGCATAAAGGCACTTTTTAATATTGCCATTTCATATATATATTTTTTTTAAAAAAAATGGATGTTAGGTTGGCCATAGGCTATTAAATGTACTTAAATGTACATTTATTAAAATGTATTTGTTAAAAGAGGGGACACCTGCAGGAATTCCCTTTTGTGCTAGGATGGTAATGTATAGAACACTCAAGTGAATGCTATTCCCTTGAGACTTATGGAACAATTGTTTCCACAAGTTTGCAAAGTGGTGCAAGCTCTACACAAAGTTTGACTCAGGCCCTGGAATTTAGATTTTTAGTAATGCCTTTCCCACGTGCATTCTAATCAGGCTGAAAGGTGCAGAAAATAAATTCCTAGAAGGAAGAAACCCCTAATAGAATTCATGAAGGCTTTTTAAAAAAATACCAGCCCAAACTT